CTGAGCGGCTGAGCCTAACACTGGCACAACGACGTCCAGGTTAGAACAGTGACATAGATACCTGTCACAACGGTGTCTATAGTCATATATGAACTTGGGCAATCTTGCCCTACATTCGCAGCTGTTGACTGAGGCAGCAGCTGTTGACTTAGGCAGTAGCTGTTGACTGAGGCAGCAGCTGTTGACTGAGGCAGCAGCTGTCGACTGAGGCAGCAGCTGTTGACTGAGGCATTAGCTGGTGACTGAGGCAGCAGCTGTTGACTGAGGCAGCAGATGTTGACTTAGGCAGTAGCTGTTGACTGATGCAGCAGCTGTTGACTAAGGCAGCAGCTACTGATTGAGGCAGCAGCTGTTGACTGAGGCAGTACCTGTTGACTGAGGTAGCAGCTGTTGACTGAGGCAGCAGCTGTTGACTGAGGTAGCAGCTGTTGACTGAGGCAGCAGCTATTGACTGAGGCAGCAGCTGTTGACTGAGGCAGCAGCTGTTGACTATTGATATTGATCCCTATTGAACAATGTCCATTTGGAGAACATTGTTCCCCAGGCGGCTCAGTTTTAGGGTGTTCCAGCAGGAATGGTGCTGCCTTTCACTTATCTGTAGGATGGAGATTTACCACTTTACCACTTGGTAAATAATAAAAACATGTATAATGTAGCTAGCACTGATAAGGTTATAAATTATTTTAGCCTACCCTTTAACTCTGGTATCTTGCTAAATATGAATTACATTATAAATAATGATCAGATTGGTTATTTAATTCTATAAAATTCTTTATTGCTATGAATTTATCTATTGTAAATGTATACTTTAATTTATATTAAAGCAATTCCAATATATTAAATATTTAAATTGTCATCTACATTTCCGTAGAAATATGCATTCCAGTCACCTGGGCTCTAGGAGACTCGAACCGTGGACCCCACATGTGTGAGGCCAAAGCTCTATCGACCGAGCTATTGAGTAGTCTTAATAGGCGAAGTTTCCAGAAGCAGCAGCCTGCTGCCAAACTGGCATTTTCGCGTTTCCCTGACTGCTACTGAAGCCCAGAGGAATTAGTGATCCACGCCCACGTAAAATTATATGACGAGGGCGTGGGCGTATGTACTATTTAGTGAGATAGTACATGCAGTTAATTACCCACTGAAGAAGGCATCAGTTTCCTGGATATGATTACTATCAATGTAAGAAGCCATGTTTGCTGGAATGTTGCCCGAATCTCACAAGTCAGAATATGAAATTTTCCACATTGACGAACCAGTTGGCGGTCGTGTTACTCTTGAAGGATATTATGGTGAGGTGACTCTTCTGGTAAATCTTGGCCGAGGTCAAGTCTCGAGTTTATTGTTCAGACTCCTTCTGCTGCCTTGTGAGGCGTTGAAGGTCTTCTCACTCTCTACCTCCTCCCTCTTCTGTAGCTGTCTACACCTGTTCCCTCTCGCTCCTGGGCCTGTTCCCTCTCCCTACTGGGACTGTTCCCTCTCCCTACTGGGACTGTTCCCTCTCCCTACTGGGACTGTTCCCTCTCCCTCCTGGGACTGTTCCCTCTCCCTCCTGGGACTGTTCCCTCTCCCTACTGGGACTGTTCCCTCTCCCTCCTGGGACTGTTCCCTCTCCCTCCTGGGACTGTTCCCTCTCCCTCCTGGGACTGTTCCCTCTCCCTCCTGGGACTGTTCCCTCTCCCTCCTGGGACTGTTCCCTCTCCCTACTGGGACTGTTCCCTCTCCCTACTGGGACTGTTCCCTCTCCCTCCTGGACTGTTCCCTCTCCCTACTGGGACTGTTCCCTCTCCCTACTGGACTGTTCCCTCTCCCTCCTGGGACTGTTCCCTCTCCCTCCTGGGACTGTTCCCTCTCCCTACTGGGACTGTTCCCTCTCCCTACTGGGACTGTTCCCTCTCCCTCCTGGACTGTTCCCTCTCCCTACTGGACTGTTCCCTCTCCCTCCTGGACTGTTCCCTCTCCCTCCTGGGACTGTTCCCTCTCCCTACTGGGACTGTTCCCTCTCCCTACTGGGACTGTTCCCTCTCCCTACTGGGACTGTTCCCTCTCCCTCCTGGACTGTTCCCTCTCCCTACTGGACTGTTCCCTCTCCCTCCTGGACTGTTCCCTCTCCCTACTGGGCCTGTTCCCTCTCCCTACTGGGACTGTTCCCTCTCCCTCCTGGGACTGTTCCCTCTCCCTCCTGGGCCTCTCACCTCTCCCTACTGGGCCTCTCACCTCTCCCTGACCGCGCAGATCCTGACCATTTTTTGGCTTTTATTATACGTTTTATTTCATTGTTTCACACACTCTCTTTCCATCTAGTTTTATTCTTATCGATTATTACTCAACCAAATATTCGCAGCAATTAAACATGTTAGATAAACTTTCGCTGTTTAATGTCGAAGTTGTTATTGTTGTGTGTCTCCAGTGTATCCTGTGTCTCCTGTATCTTCAGTGTCTCTAGTGTCTCCTGTGTCTCCTGTGTCTCCAGAAAGCAATGTCTGGCGCTTGTCGTGGCCACTACCGTGGGTACATCTCTCTCTCGTCGCCTCATCCATGTAATTGTGCTCCTGGCAATATTATAATATTGTTCATAGTAGTATGTGTCGACTCCTGTTCATTCTCGGATGCACATTGCGTTCTGTATTGATTTATGTCTTTGCATTTCTTTCAGATACCCGGACAAGGAGACTGGACGGCCTCCATAAAAAGCGAGCACTTCCTCGTGCTCTCGTCTATCAGTTCTTTCCCTCCTCTCAATTCTCTAACCCTTAGTGGCATTTTTACAGTGTTTACTACAAACTGGATACTGTTCATACCTTAATCCTCCCCCTCAATTGGGACAAGAAGCAGGCCGATTGTCGAAGATCTCCCCCTTTTTTCCTGATAATTTAATTAATCCAGCAAGATTTTGAACTACATCAAACCCCCTGTTTATGCAACCCGTTCTCACAATAAGTATATCCCATCCAACGGTCGACCCCAAAGACGAATTTATAAATTTTATCATGTTGTTCATTCAAAATAGGAATATTATCATATATAAATTAAAATTGTTATATATTATCATACTGTGCATATAAGGCATTGGTTAGGTTTGGGGTAGGTGTTTAGGTTCTGTTGACGATTATTTGTATTTGTAGTCAACCCGTCCTCACACCAGGCTGTTTAGAGCAGCGGCCGGCCTCCCCAGACGCAGTCATCAATTTTAACATACTGTTTATTAAAAATTGCATTGTTCTCATATATAAATTAATATTCTTATACATCCAAATTCTATGTATAGGTTAGGTTACGTGTTTAGGTTCTGTTGGCGATTATTTGTATTTGAAGTACGATGGTGAAGCGTTTATAGTATGATGGTTCGAACAGAGGACGTGAGCGAAGTACGTGTTCCGGAAGTGTTCGGATGTCATCAGTTGTGAGTCGTGTGTAAACCACTTTTAATTCATAAACAGGGGGTTTGGCGGCTGAATTAACGAGCTTGGATCTTTGTATGCGCGGACGAGCTGGAGGACGGGTTGAGGACTGGCTGGAATGAAGCATCAGCTGGCTTCATGTGGGTTATGAGCGGGATCATTCAAGACACGAAACAAATACAGTTTCAGCCTTAATATCGCAGCCCGTCCTCCAAACAAAGATCCAAAAGTGATTCCATGCACCCGCCAAACCCTCTGTTTATGAATGAAAAGCGGTTTACACACGACTCACAACTGCTGACGTTCGAACATATCCGGAACAAGTGCTTCACTGACGAATTTTGTTCGAACCACAACGCTATAAATGCTTCACCCACGTACTACAAATACAAATAATCGCCAACAGAACCTAAACACCTGACCTAACCTAACCTATGCCTATATATACACAATATGCTAATATATTATAATATTAATTTATACTTGAGAAAATTCCCGTTTTGAATGAACAGCATGTTAAAATTTATGAATGTGTCTGTGGGGTTGACCGCTGGATGTAATGGACTTGAGTCGAGGACGGGTTGAATATCGCGCGGGGCCGATCATTTAGATGTTGCCTGTCGTTGTGTTGTGACGAGAAGGAAACGTCTAAAGTGAAAGTGAAAATATTCATAAATTTCCGGATAAGACAAAGGAAAATGCGTGTTTGGTCACAGTGAGTTACTTATGAGCTAGTTGTTGTAACAGCTGAGTGTTTAGTCACAGCGAGTTACATATGAACCAGTTGTTGTAACAGCTGAGTGTTTAGTCACAGCGAGTTACATATGAACCAGTTGTTGTAACAGCTGAGTGTTTAGTCACAGCGAGTTACATATGAACCAGTTGTTGTAACAGCTGAGTGTTTAGTCACAGTGAGTTACATATGAACCAGTTGTTGTAACAGCTGAGTGTTTAGTCACAGTGAGTTACTTATGAGCTAGTTGTTGTAACAGCTGAGTGTTTAGTCACAGCGAGTTACATATGAACCAGTTGTTGTAACAGCTGAGTGTTTAGTCACAGTGAGTTACATATGAACCAGTTGTTGTAACAGCTGAGTGTTTAGTCACAGTGAGTTACATATGAACCAGTTGTTGTAACAGCTGAGTGTTTAGTCACAGTGAGTTACATATGAACCAGTTGTTGTAACGCTAAACAGCGTGTTATCTCCAGTTTCTTAGAAAGTCGAAAGTGCTTATATTGGTCACACGAACAAATTATTCTGCGCCGGGCTTGCAAGATCCAAAAAGTGCTTTGAGGTTATCATTAAGAACAGACATGAAACTAAGACAAGAAACCTCACTACTTCAGACTTGCCAGAATACTGACTCGGGAAAATTTTGTGTTTTGCAGGACATTCCAGTCGAGGACTGACTTTGACATGCCCCGTCTGACTTCACTAGACATGAAAAGGTCTGCCATGACTTGTGCATGACTGGGGCATGTCTGCCATGACTGGGGCATGTCTGGCATGACTGGGGCATGTCTGGCATGACTGGGGGCATGTCTGGCATGACTGGGGCATGTCTGCCATGAATGGGGCATGTCTGGCATGACTGGGGCATGTCTGGCATGACTGGGGGCATGTCTGCCATGAATGGGGGCATGTCTGCCATGAATGGGGGCATGTCTGCCATGAATGGGGGCATGTCTGCCATGAATGGGGGCATGTCTGCCATGAATGGGGGCATGTCTGCCATGAATGGGGGCATGTCTGCCATGAATGGGGGCATGTCTGCCATGAATGGGGGCATGTCTGCCATGAATGGGGGCATGTCTGCCATGAATGGGGGCATGTCTGCCATGAATGGGGGCATGTCTGCCATGAATGGGGGCATGTCTGCCATGAATGGGGGCATGTCTGCCATGAATGGGGGCATGTCTGCCATGAATGGGGGCATGTCTGCCATGAATGGGGGCATGTCTGCCATGAATGGGGGCATGTCTGCCATGAATGGGGGCATGTCTGCCATGAATGGGGGCATGTCTGCCATGAATGGGGGCATGTCTGCCATGAATGGGGGCATGTCTGCCATGAATGGGGGCATGTCTGCCATGAATGGGGGCATGTCTGGCATGAATGGGGGCATGTCTGGCATGAATGGGGGCATGTCTGGCATGACTGGGGCATGTCTGGCATGACGGGGGCATGTCTGGCATGACTGGGGCATGTCTGCCATGACGGGGGCATGTCTGCCATGACTGGGGCATGTCTGCCATGACCGGGGCATGTCTAGTGGGTGCCCCCAACGTCTGACCTCACTGAGCGAAGGACCACAGTCACCTCACAAGGTTAGCCTCGAGCCTCAAGTATAAACACAAATGGATAACTCAAATGATAACGATAACACGTTACTCAAATGGATAATAATTTGGTAAATTACGTGGAGATTGTAATATATTGATAGTGTATAATGCCCGAAATGTATATAAGCATTTCACTAATATTTCTGAATATTTCTCATATTACAGGTAAGAGAATACAGCAGCTCATCGTGTGAGAGAAATCTACCAATTAAAGGTACGTTCCATTTTCCTCCTGTTCTTATGTGATAGTTTATACAATTACAGACCTGCGTTAAAAATTAGGCGGTTTTGGGAAAAATTATAAAGTCCTCTTCATTGGTCAAAGTGTAGAGGATTTTTCACGAAGCCATTTTCCCTTTGTATTAGAGGCACTATAGCCGCCTACCCTAGCCTTGGAGGCACTGTAGCCACGTACCCTGGCTTTGGAGGCACTGTAGCCACGTACCCTGGCCTTGGAGGCACTGTAGCCACGTACCCTGGCCTTGGAGGCACTGTAGCCACGTACCCTGGCTTTGGAGGCTCTGTAGCCACGTACCCTGGCCTTGGAGGCACTGTAGCCACGTACCCTGGCCTTGGAGGCACTGTAGCCACGTACCCTGGCCTTGGAGGCACTGTAGCCACGTACCCTGGCCTTGGAGGCACTGTAGCCACCTACCCTGGTCTTGGAGGCACTATACTCACCTTCCTTGACCTTGGAGACATTGATGTCGCGTACAATGGTCATGTGGGTTCGACCAACCTTCACTCAATTTTGTATATTTTGCAGCTCATTTACGCACAAACAGGCATCATGTACTAAGAAACACCAACAATAGTTTGATGTCTTAAGCAACGAGAAGTGTTTTCTATTTAGGTTGTCGTACCCTTTCAGTTCTCTAACGTTAACAAGTCCCAGTAACGAGTGTGTGAAGTCAAGCGACGTAATTTGGATGCAAAGAAATTGTCTCAGAATTTCTAATTTGTTGATTTTATTTACACTGTAATTTTTTTTTGACGCATGCAGATCGTGATGACACGAAAGATACTCTTATTTAGCATCGCATTTTTCGTTACGGTGCAAATAACGAACAATAACGACGATGGTAATGTTGAAAGTTCAACCGATAGGTACGAGTGTAAAGAATTGTGGTTATCTTCTGTTCAGCGCTGTTCAAACTTTTTGTGACTGTGAGGCACAGCAAGAACAGTGTGTTGTCCTACAGTCTAGCACGCCTCTGTGTTGTACTACAGTCTAGCACGCCTCTGTGTTGTACTGTAGCCTAGCACGCCTCTGTGTTGTACTGTAGCCTAGCACGCCTCTGTGTTGTACTGTAGCCTAGCACGCCTCTGTGTTGTACTGTAGCCTAGCACGCCTCTGTGTTGTACTGTAGCCTAGCACGCCTCTGTGTTGTACTGTAGCCTAGCACGCCTCTGTGTTGTACTGTAGCCTAGCACGCCTCTGTGTTGTACTGTAGCCTAGCACGCCTCTGTGTTGTACTGTAGCCTAGCACGCCTCTGTGTTGTACTGTAGCCTAGCACGCCTCTGTGTTGTACTGTAGCCTAGCACGCCTCTGTGTTGTACTGTAGCCTAGCACGCCTCTGTGTTGTACTGTAGCCTAGCACGCCTCTGTGTTGTACTGTAGCCTAGCACGCCTCTGTGTTGTACTGTAGCCTAGCACGCCTCTTGTGTTGTACTGTAGCCTAGCACGCCTCTTGTGTTGTACTGTAGCCTAGCACGCCTCTGTGTTGTACTACAGTCAACCACTTAGACTCGATGGTAAAGCAACGGTCTCTCTTCATGCAGGTCGGCGTTCAATCCCCCGACCGTCCAAGAGGTTGGGCACCATTCCTTTCCACCGTCCCATCCCAAATCCTTATCCTGACTCCTTCCAAGTGTTAAATAGTTTAAAGGGCTTTGCACTTTCTCCTGATAGTTACCGTCCCCTCATCCACGATAATCGGTGAGTAAAGACACCTTGAACAGGTCAGAGGCAACAATCATCCGCCCATTGAACATTTGGAGCATATTTGAGCCAAAAGGGAGGCATCCTGAAACGTACTTGCACGTCAGGTGCAAGTACGTCCCAGTGGCGTACTTGCACCTGATTTGCTAGTGGGCAAGAACTCTAAAGTCTTACGTCAGTGAGAGACGGCACTCGCCTTTGAACCCTTTACTTAGTCGTGAGAACTAGTCTACAGTGAGGTTACCTTACCTACCTTGAGGTGCTTCCGGGGCTTAGCGTCCCCGCGGCCCGGTCGTCGACCAGGCCTCCTGGTTGCCGGACTCATCAACCAGGCTGTTGGACGCGGCTGCTCGCAGCCTGACGTACGAGTGCAAGTGCTTATGGCAAGTGCAAGAGTAATAGTGCAAGTGCTAAACCATTTGTTGTTGACCTGCAGATGATCTCAACAAGTGTTGACAAGATGGAGCGTCTGCTTTCACTAAGCAGTATCCATCAATCGTGTTAAGATCTGCCGGCCAAATGCCAGCCGAACGTAGTTGATTTCGGTTGTCCCGAAATTTAGAAACGAGGCAGTGCCGGCCATTTAGTGAACAGCATGAAGATTCTGTTACTAATTGACAGTTGTTCACGTTAAAGTCTTGCCAGTTTTTGTTGAGTTGCGAGTGTTCGGTATTCTTGTCTAGTGTCTTGAGAAGACGACCAACAAGTGTCAGTTACCAGTGTGTTGAGGCGTGTCAGGGAGCTCTGCTACTTTTTTTGTCTATTTATTTGTAAAACAAAATACATTACAATTAAACATTCAATATAAAGGCACCGAACCACCAAAATAAACCTGAGCACCAGCTCCACACCACCCAACAACAGAACACCAGCTCCACACCACCCAACAACAGAACACCAGCTCCACACCACCCAACAACAGAGCACCAGCTCCACACCACCCAACAACAGAACACCAGCTCCACACCACCCAACAACAGAGCACCAGCTCCACACCACCCAACAACAGAACACCAGCTCCACACCACCCAACAACAGAGCACCAGCTCCACACCACCCAACAACAGAACACCAGCTCCACACCACCCAACAACAGAACACCAGCTCCACACCACCCAACAACAGAACACCAGCTCCACACCACCCAACAACAGAACACCAGCTCCACACCACCCAACAACAGAACACCAGCTCCACACCACCCAACAACAGAACACCAGCTCCACACCACCCAACAACAGAACACCAGCTCCACACCACCCAACAACAGAACACCAGCTCCACACCACCCAACAACAGAACACCAGCTCCACACCACCCAACAACAGAACACCAGCTCCACACCACCCAACAACAGAACACCAGCTCCACACCACCCAACAACAGAACACCAGCTCCACACCACCCAACAACAGAACACCAGCTCCACACCACCCAACAACAGAACACCAGCTCCACACCACCCAACAACAGAGCACCAGCTCCACACCACCCAACAACAGAACACCAGCTCCACACCACCCAACAACAGAACACCAGCTCCACACCACCCAACAACAGAACACCAGCTCCACACCACCCAACAACAGAACACCATAACTCATAAACGCAACATAGAACATTACAAATATAAACGTCACAGCAAAATGCAGAACAACATTGAATGCAAAAAAACAAAAAACACAGATTACAAAGGTCATAGAGCAAGGAACGTAAATGAGAAAACAAGAAACACAAAATTAAAGACATAAGAACACACAATAAGGAACCGCACTACCCAGACGGGGCGTGCCACATTATGGACATTAAACCACAAAAGTGCACAAATGAAACAGAAACGAAAGTTACAAAACATAAATAATACAAAACACACATACAACCCACGGAACACCCGGTACACACAGTACAAACATTAGAACGCCCGACCAGAACACACAGGAACCAGGAAACAAGCGACAACCACACCCCAAACGCACATGAAATAAAATACCGGAACACGCAGGACCCGGCAAAGAAAACACCAAAACACACACACGAGAAAGCACACACACACACACAGAACACCACCTGTTGATTGACGGTTGAGAGGCGGGACCAAAGAGCCAGAGCTCAACCCCCGCAAACACAACTAGGTGAGTACTAGGTGAGTACAAGAACACAACCGTCAAACACACACAGGAAAAACGACAGCACACTAGCAACAAAACACAAACAAAACATCTAAACACAACCGCCTAAACGAGGCGAGCCAAAACATGGATACAAAACATACATATAGCAGACAAGGCAACAATTATAATTTTTCAGGGAGCATATAATGCAAGCACAAACACTGCATATTTATTGGGAAACTTCTGCGCTGGAAATTGCAAGCAGTAAGCCTCCCAAATTAGCACGACGTCATCAGACACTTGTCTACCAGGAAACGTACAAGGCCGAGGCATCAGATCTGGCGCCCCATAAACAAAACTCTTTGCCCGCAGCACCCAAATAGTAGAGGAACACCACGGAACCGGACACACCCGGCCATTCAAGGCGAGTTCCAAAGACTGCGACGCATTGAGCATGACCCCGGAGGCCGCGACCACAGGGAGGGGTGCCGTACGAGGGGGGGTCGAGCACTAGGTAACATTACACACAGAAATCACACTAACGTGATGTATCAAATGAACAAATCCACAAGGGCCGTGACGAGAATTCAAACCTGCGTCCGGGAGCATCCCAGACACTGCCTTAATCGGCTGAGCTACGACAGGGTAAAAGAGTTGAAACCGAAGTTCTACTGAATTTACTGGATCCCGCAGCCTCTCCGAGGCACAAACCAGGGTTTTACTCAACTCCCCCCTGCACTTGAGCTATGTCAATAGGACGTTCTCCCTCTTCGCCCTTACGCGGGATCCAGTAAGTTCAGTAGAACTTCGGTTTCAACTCTTTTACCCTGTCGTAGCTCAGTCAATTAAGGCAGTGTCTGGGATGCTCCCGGACTCGGGTTCGAATCCTCGTCACAGCCCTTGTGGATTTGTTCACTAGGTGACATACTAGGTTTGTCATAGGGAACCGTACTGGTATTCGCATGGGACTGCACACCGGGAGGATCTGCAGGGGACATAGACGTGCCAGGGGCCCCTGCCACCAGGCTGCACCACACTGCAAAGCACGAGCTGGAAGTACAACAGCTGCACCAACGGGGTACAGGCCCACACCCCACAGGCAACAGTAATAGGAACTGAAGACAGGGCAGACGGGGCTGG